CTCTCTCTCTTTCTTACTCGCATACACACACACACACGAACACACAAAAACACACACGAGCGTACTCACACACATACATTCGCAAGCTCACACATACATACTCTCGCACGCACGCACGCACGCACACACACACACACACACACACACACACACACACACACCCTGAAACAAGTGAAGTTCTCTCATAGAAAATTGATCAAACAATAACAAGTTACACGTGCTGTCAGATGAGTGGTCACTTGATTTTGGCCTGCTACGTGGATGGATACACGTTCTATTGGATGGAGGGCACAACGTTATGGCGAACTGCAAATTTTCGGTTTGTGTGTAGAAACGCATTCCTTTACCATTTCTTTTACATTATGAATACACATTTTTACTTGTGTGGTCGAATGTGATAGTAAATAAGTCCTTAGATATTGTCCTGTGCCATGTTTGAACAAAGAACTCTTTTGCTCACCAAGGAAGACTTACAACAGCACCCGACATTGAACGACATCTGTTGAAGAAAATCTTTGATCATAGTTATGTTTGTGGTCCACTGTGAAATACATTTCTGGACGCCAAAGGAACTATTGATTTTCACGTAGTCAGGGCTCTCCTTTACCCACAAACGCGTATATTACGCATTAAACCTGCAGATTTAAGTTTTGGTTGTGCGTGAGCGTTACTCTTTGTAATTTCATTTCGGGGGTTTGCATACGCTTTAAAACGTAGGACGAAGGCTTTTATACACTGAGATGCGAGGGTGTTGCTTTTAACCAAATTCCTGAAAGAAATTATGACATCAAAATGAGACCGGACTCAGAGGACAAATGTGCTGGGAAAGGCAATTTTAGGGTTCGGATCCCAAACTTGCCTCTCTTATTTGTAGAGTTTGTACTAGACAGCTCTTGAGTGGCATTTTCCACGATATTTGCTCTTGGTGTGTCTTTTTTATACTCTGTTTCTTATTGGATCAATTTCTCTGTTCTATTTTATTTTGAAATATGTCGATTTGGAGGGTTTGTATGAGAAAACGTCTGCTTAGCCCTATTTTAATGCGATTATGTTTTAATTAAACACTTGTATCTTTATATAATAAATTTGTCTAGCATTTTGTGGCATAATTGGCCTGGTGTGACTTTAGTTTTCTTCATGCAGTGAAGCTGGAGCTCACGGCACAAAGACAAAAAAGAACCCAAAAGACGACCTTCAAATCTACCGACTTTTTGCGCTGGTCCTAGATCTACTTGTTTGATTAAATAAAAATTATATTCGTATCCTTGTTCTTGCTGAACATGATTTTATTTTATAGACACAGTGCTTGTGGAAGAAAGGAATTGTGAGTACCGTATTTTCTGTTTAAAAAATGAAAAAAAAATGTCATTGATTGAATCTACGTAAAAAAACCATCAACAAAAAACAAAACAGAACCACCCCCCCCCAAAAAAAAATCCAACAAAACAAACAAATAAACAACCTCTCCCACCCCCCAAAACAAACAAACAAACAAAAAACAAACAAGCAAAACAAACATGCAAACACACAACAGACAAAATACAAAAAAACAAACAAAAAAACCCCGACTCCCAAAACGACCTTTGACAAGTTCCTGTTGTTCTTTGCTTTGACATGTTAACGAAACGCATGCCTTGTACCATGTTCTCATTGACTTATTGACGCATGCCTTGTACCATGTTCTCATTGACTTATTGACGCATGCCTTGTACCATGTTCTCATTGACTTATTGACGCATGCCTT